ACACACACACACACACACACACACACACACACACACACAGAGAAGAGTGTATTGTAGCAAACTATGAGGCTCTGTTCAGGGCTCCTTGTGCTGAAGCTTGGAGTCCTGCCAGCACTGCCACCAGCAGGCTCCCCTGCAGAAGCCCTCGCGGCCTCCAGTGGGAAGGGTCTTCCGGCTGCCCCAGCTCCTGGCTTGACACTCAGCGTTCCCCCTCGTCGCCGTGTGGCCTCAGCAAGGAGTTTAATGTCTCCGTTTCTTGGTCTTTGCGATAGAAACGACGCTGATCACCTGCAGGCCTGGTGTATGAATCGGTGGCGTGACGCCCATGAAAACCCATGGCTTCACTCCCTGGTGGCTGAATCGGCGTGTGTCCTTTTTGTTTTTCTCTCTCAGAAATGTTTGACCTGGAAGCAAATGAACACATACAGAAGGCCATAGACGACCGACAGATGCCCAAAGTGGAATACACGGAGATCAAGGTGGATGATTACAGTAAGTTCTCCCTTTCCCGCTTTGGAAGGAATAGCAGGCCACCTGCTGCACTGAAAGCTCCCCAACGCCTTCCAGCCAGCCCCGGGGGAGACTGGGGCTGGGGAGGGGAGGCCCCCTGCACTGAGCTTGCAGGGCTGACGATGGAAGGAAGGTCCCAGACTGAAACTCTCTCCTTTGGGGGGGACGTGTCATAACACCTTCCAGGGAGAACACCCTCCCCCGGGAAAGAAATGCCTTTTCTGTGCCATTTGATGTTTCTGCTACTTCTTCCTCTTACCCTCTAAATGCTGATGAGGCCATCTTTGCACCGGGAGGGATGTGTGATGAGGGATCTGTGTGTTGTCACAACCCGAGAAACATCCAGCACCCTGCCTTTTAAAGAGAGTGTGACACTGGGCTGGGGTCATGTGACGGTACCAAGACAGGTGCCACTTGAATGGGGTCCATGGAGTCAGCGTTGGGTTGGCCAAGAAGAGCGGAGAGTGCGTCCCTGAGGAGGGAACCCCGTGAGCCAGCACTCAGGCAAGAATCAGCGTCGCTCATTGTGGGGGCGTCAGGAGGCTGGCCGGGCATTCAAGCCTGCAGGCCGCCAGTGATTCAGGGGGACCCCCACTCCCCAGAGCCTTCAGTCCATCCAGAGGCCACTTGCCAAGACACCCCGGTCCTATCATCGGACCACATGGAGTCACACAAGATGAGTGCTTCTCTACACATCGCTCGAGAGACGTGTAGGGCCCCGTGTTCACTCCAGAAAGTCAGAAAAGTCAGCAATATGAAGTGTTTCAAATCCCTCAGCCCCACCCCCACGGTGCAGAGGCTTCCTCTTTTAAAATACCCCACGTGTGAGCACTGTGACGAAGGAATGGATAAGGAGGGTAGAGGCAGAGAAGAAGTAAACTTGGGAAAACCGTAAGTGGAGGCTGTGAAGTTTCGCTTTGGCCGAGAAATGTGGTTCTGCCCAGTGGGGATGTGGCTTCCTCAGGTGTGAGGGCCATTCCCACCGTCCCCCTGGGGCTTGGGTTTCTCTCGGATTTCCATGAGATGCACTGAGATGCCACAGGACAAGGATGCGCCCAGCCCTGGAACCACGGGCAGCTTAGAGCGTCCCTGGAACCTGAACCCTGGTAGGCAGGGTCCACAGGGAGGGCCATTGGCAAGTGGGAGAGAAGCCACACGTGAAAGAGGGGAACGGAGAGACTAGGACATCCGCATGCCCGTCGTCAGGGCGCGGAGGAATCGGAGAACAAACGTGAGGGGCAGGACGGCCACAAGTCCAGGCAGAGGTGAGGAGGACACACACGGCCGTCAGAGTCCCAACTCCGATGGAAGGAAGAGGGACAGGATGGGACACCAGCAAGAATGACGAGCTGGAACGATCGGAGCCTCTATGTGGTTTCCATCAGGACAAAAACAAGCAGCTGAGTCCGACTGGCCTGGAACCCACAGGCAGCGGGCAGGGCGTGGAAACCTCCCGACGTGAGGGAGCTGTGTGCGCCGAGCAGGGCACCGAGCCAGCCGAATAACAGCTTGTTCATCCTGAGTCCCAGCCCCATTTCCCTGCAGGGGTATTTTTCATGTAGAGAGTTACTCTGGAGAGCGCAGGGCATGCTGGTGTCGAGAGCCCAGCTGGTAAGACTTTCTATTCCCTGGCAACGTGTCAAAGGAAACCCTGGCCTGCCCACGTGGATGCCCACACAGAACTTGGAGTCCAGGTTCTCAGATTCAAGTTCACGGGAACCCTCACATTAACTGCATATACACCTTTGTGCTGTCCTTTTATAAGGAAGAGCCAAAACGCAAGGAAAACAAGACGATTTTAGATTGATAGTGTATGGATGATGGATGGATGGATGGATGGATGGATGGATGGATGGATGGATGGATGGATGGATGATGGACAGATGGATGATGGATGGATGGATGGACAGATGAATCCACAAGCAAGCAGCTTCCACACATTTGTTGCAATCCCCCTACACCGTCCATCTCCATGCACAGACCTCAGGACAGGCTCCAGAACGCGCAGGCCCCGGTGCAGAATGAGAACGTGGAGCGCTTCCTTCACAGCTTGTTACGGCAGCAGAGCGTTAAGCCGACAGGCCCCGCGTGTCTGCCCAGGTCGCTCTCCTGAAAGCAGCTGGGTGGAGCTCCAGGGCCAGACTTCCGGCTCCTGACTCACTGCGACCCTCTACCCCCATCAGCAGGTTTTCCGGAACCTCCTCTCGCAGTTTTCTCACCTCCATTGCTTCTTCCCGCAGCCTTTGAGGCCAGATCATATTCCTTTGCAAGAGTCCTTCTCATCTCCAGACACCCGAGTGGGTGTCTGCCTGCACCCACTCGACACACTGCTGTCACTGTACATTTCCCAAACCCGAGAGCACTAATGGGGTAATGCCGTCCCCTCCTCAGACCATGCACAGCAGACCCTTAGGAACCAGTACCTTTTCCCCTCTTGCCACACGTGGTTCTGTCCACTATGAGGTTTTACCTGACGGGAGAATGGAAGTGAAGAGGCAAGGTCAGCAGGCACAGCTGTGTTCAGGGGCCGGCACGTGAACAGCACCCCTCTGGGGCCACGGAACATAGGAAAGATACCGCTCTGCCAGCCTGTTTCTGTTTTGTTATGTTTTTTCATTTGATGCTACCAGGGGCTTTAACCTGAAGCAACACGCCTTCCGGAAATGCTCTCGGGAAACGCGGCCTGTCCGTCCTAGCCGGGTTCTGCCCACGGGCTTGTCCACGGCAGAGGGCAGCCCAGACCATGTTTTATGGATATTGCGGTGATGGAGTCCCAGCTTGCTTTTCTGCAGGTCCCTGGGCCACTGATCCAATTTGCAAGCCATTAGCAATTGGCCAGAATCAGCAATGAGACCCTGGTCAGAGAAGGCTGCTGAGCCACCTCCCAGACGCGGTGGATCTATAGTAATTCTCCTGAAAAAACCGCTAATTCCAATTTAATTGCTAATCTGGGTTGTAGTTAACATCAATAAACTATTTCTAACGTAGGTGGGGGAGGTTTGTTTTGTAGGGAGACAGAGAAAACCGCAAAGGAAAATTCCCTGCCCTCCATCACTGGACCCCGGGCTGCCCAGAACCAGAGTCAGATGACCTAGCTCCAGCGGTGTGTGTGTGTGCGCGCGCGCGTGTGCACGCACGTGTGTGTCTGTCTGTGTGTGTTCGTCTACAGGCAGGCAGACCTGTCCAGCACCAGCCTGCAAACAGTGAGGCCTGCAGAGCCCCCTGGCTTTGCACGGAGGGTCCCCATGGGCTCAGCCTCCCCCTCTGAGCTGCCCCCCCAGCCTCAGCCCACCCTCCATCTCTTCCTCCCCCCACTTCATTGCAGGCTGCAGCAGTGCCCCTTGGCAGAGAGTTTCATTTCTCCCTGCCCGGCTCTGGCCACTCGCACACACTCAGAGCAGTCCAGCTGTTTCTGTTTGCCCGCATGCTCTTTACGAGGTTGGATGTAAGCTTCAGATGGAGACGCTGAGCCTCAGAGCTGTTGGGGGACTTGCCCAGGGCCACACGGGGAGCCCGAGTCTCGAGACGAAGGTCGGGGCCAGGCCTGTGTGTGCCCGGCCGCCTGAGCCCCCCGGGGTGGCCTCCTCCCCGCTCCCGAGGGTCAGACTCACGGCCCCTGACATGCGGACCTGTGTTGCTTCTCCTAGCCCTGCCCGTGCAGATTCTCAAGCCGGCGGTCTTCACGGAGACTGCCCACTACCCGCTGCTTCTGGTGGTGTAAGTACTTCCCCCTCGGGATGCTCACTGGGGACTCGGACACCATAACAAAAGGATTTCAAACTTAGGACAGTGACAAGAGGGCTGTCAGACAGCCCCACTGGCCCGCCTCCCCTCACCCACCCCGTCCCGGGGGGGTCCCTCCCCCAGGAGCAGAGGCGGCCCCACCCGCTGCCCGGCCGAGACCCGGGACCTGAGTGCGTCCTGCCACTGACCACTCTGCTCACTGTCTGGACAGGTTAACACTCTGCCAATAACCACACACATCACACACACACCACACACACATACTCGTTCACATGTACGCACACACACGTGTGCACATGTCACACGCACAAACCACACTGCCCCCTTCCTCTCTGATGACACCACATTCCCACCCCTGTCTCGGAGGTGCTGACGACAGCTCTCTTCCTCCAGAGCTCGTTGCTTCAGGAGTCTCCGAACTCCCAAAGCCTCCTCGGTCCCCAGAACAGCTCACTTTCCTTTCAGACGTAATGGTGGGCCTGCCTGGTCACATCACGGCGGCCCGAGTCCCTGCATGGAGACAGGACCTGCCGAGACCGACCTCATGGGCCACAGGCTGCTCTGTGGCCCGACAGCAGTGCGGGTTGGGGACCTCAAAATGCCTACGGAAATGTACCGGGCAGTGCACATTTAGAACAAAAAATCCAGACGAAGGCAAATCACGCACACCCACATACGCGTATGTCCGTGTCACAGCGTAACGGGCCCCTGGCACACAGGCCTCGGACGCAGGGCCCTTGAGTCACACACACCCGTCTCCACGCCCTTGGTCCTTGGCAGAAAGGACGGCAGTAGCTGTTCCCTCCTTGGAGGAAGGACCAGCCAGCGCCCCGCTGAGTGGGGTGTTGCCTTCTGTGGGTCTCTGGGAGGGAGGCTGGCCAGGCGCTGCCTTCCCTCCTGTTCACTCTGTCCCCCAAAAGGAAAACAATGCAGAAGCCGCCCCCATGCCCACCAATGTGCCACCGAGCAATCAGCATCCACGTGTCCATTTAAAAGGCCCGTTTGCAGCATCAACCCACCTCCAAGGAGCCGGCACGTGGTGGCCAGGGGTCGCGGGCCCCTCCTGGGTGGACACAGCCCCTCCCGAGAGAATCCCGGGCCCCCGGGGCCTACGACACAGCACGCCAAGGCCGCGCACTGTCTTTTCCAGGGACGGCACCCCGGGCACCCAGAGCGTAGCTGAGAAGTTCGAGGTTACCTGGGAGACGGTGATGGTGAGCAGCCACGGCGCCGTGGTGGTGAAGTGTGACGGCCGAGGCAGTGGCTTCCAAGGAGCAAAGCTGCTGCACGAAGTGAGGCGACGGCTGGGCTTCCTGGAGCAGGAGGACCAGGTGGAGGCTGTGCGGTGAGCCTCCCCGCCCCCGCACGGTCCCAGCGGGTGGGCTGCCTGGAGGAGGAGGACAAGGTGGAGGCTGTGCCCCAGCGGGTGGGCTGCCTGGAGGAGGAGGACCAGGTGGAGGCTGTGCCCCAGCGGGTGGGCTGCCTGGAGGAGGAGGACCAGGTGGAGGCTGTGCCCCAGCGGGTGGGCTGCCTGGAGGAGGAGGGTGCGTGTCCTCCAGGGCCACACTGAGGTCCTCTCAGAGGTGTTTCCAGTCACTGTGCACATTTTACATGTGGACTATTCTAGAGTGAGTATTTCCTCAAGTGATGCGCTCCCAAAGGCTTTTACACTGCTTTTCCATAGCTTGTCTGTTTGGTCAGAAAACAAGGTCCAGAGGCCGCGAGTCAGGTCTGCGCGGCTTCCCAGTGCTGTGGGCACAGAGCTCGGCCAGCGTCCTCGCTTACCTCTGCCGTTCTTCACAAAAGGGAGGGAGGGAAGAACAGACGGACGGACAGAGCGAGAGGGAGACTAGGAGTGGGGATAGATCTGTGCAACCGGCCACCTCGTCACTGAGAAAAGGACCCCTGTGCACATCGGGTGGCCGGTCAGAAAGCCTTGTGCAGCCGGAAGAGCGTGCGGCATGGTTTTTGTCATCCCTTCACCTGCCTGTCACGGTGTCAGCAAGACCAACAGGGTGTTACAGGGACCGGAAAAAGGCCTAGCGCCCAGGGACAGATGCTCGGAATTATTTATCGAGTTTTATTGTTGCCCTGGAAGAAAAAGATACCAAAACCCCGTGCCAGGCTCCACCTGGCCTTTGGGCTCCCTGGGTTAAGTGCGGCTTTCGGTCGTGGGGCGCAGTGGACAGCGGCATCGAACAGGCTAATGGCCGAGAGGTGCTGCGGGAACAACTCAACCCAACCTACAGACTCACCTGCTTAGAATGACAAGAAGGGCCGGGAAGACACAGGCCACGGGGCCCCCGTGGCGATGGCCACCGTGAACAGGGGAGCGTGACGCTGGAGCCTGGGCCGGTGAGAAGGTGGCACCCAGAGCCCAGGTTGCTGCACCTCTGTTGACAGAAGGGCTGTAAGGAAGCTTGGCATCTCGTGCCGCCTGTCATCATGCCCATCGCAGGTTTAAAAACTTCACTCCACTGTCTTTTCAAAACATTTGCTCTCTCATTTTAAAAAGCCAGGATGCACTGAGTTGGTAACCTTTAAGTGGATGAAATAGTGAGTGAGGGACTGAATGGCCCCGTGTCCCCGAGAAGTAAGCGCTGGTGGAAGAGAGATGGCCACGTCAAGCGCCCAGCGTGTGTCCCAGACAAGACGCAGAGCAGGGGAAAATGTCTGCGGGCCTCATAGCCCAGGCAGCGGCATCTGTTAGACGCTTGGCCCAGAAGTGAACAGCACACACACCATGTCAAACGTGCTTCAGAGGCAAGGACCTACATGGGCTCCGGGAGTCCAGAGGCCCAGCAGTGCCCCCCAGAGACCCAGGCCTCTGTCTCCGCGTAGCCAACCCCATGGCCTCACCCCGGGAGCCACTCTCCTGCGCCCTGAGGATGGCTGTCAGCCTCCGAGACCCTCCTCCTCCGGGCCTTCCCCACCTGCCAGCTGCTTTCTGTCGTCGCCCAGCCGGCTCTAACCCCTCCCAGTGGGGCACAGGGGCCTCTCGGGCCCACCGAGGACACAAGGACACGGTGTCCTTCAGGCATGCTCGCAGCCCCCACCCCTGCAGCCACGGCTGTATATGAGCTGCCTCCCTCTGACAATGGGGGCAGAGGGCAAACAGCTGTTTCACACTCACAGTGTTTTCTGAAAATAAGGAAGTGACCCAGCATCTGTGCAAACACAGGGCAGAACCTGTTCCAGAAAACCAGTAAATAAAGCCAACTGTTAAGCCACCCAAGCTTTCAGGCACACGGACACCATTGCCCACGGACAGCCGTCAACAGACAGCTGTCAGAAAACACGTGGACTTTCTCAGGAAGCTGGGACCCCAGTGTTTCAAGCCAAAGGAAACTGTCCAAAGTTCTTTAGGATCTGGGCCTGTATTTTCCGTAGAGAGAAACAGCCCAGTTTTATCAGTTGAAGATGCCACGAACCCCTCTCCTCAAAGCTCCCGGCCACCTCCTGGTCCTCCAGCCTTCCTCCGCCTCACACTGTCCTCCTGGAGCCTCTGAGCGACACTTCCCATAGCAGATGACACGAGCAGAGTCCCCTCGCAGGCTGAGCCGCCGTGTAAGGGAAGAGGACAGCCGTGAACGGACGGCGTGGGCGCAGCGTGGACGCAGCTAGTGCTCGGAGCAAACAGCCTGGACGGGCTCCTGGGGGCCACGCCCGCCCCTCAGAGGACAGATGGGGACTTGCCAGGCAGGAAGGGGGAGACGCACGTTCCAGACAGAACACGCTGAGGAGAGGCTGGAGGTGTTGCAAAGCACAGCCTGACAGGCTCACTGAGTGCCAGCCACTGTGGGTGGGTTCTGAGGAAGGGGACAGGAGCCGCGTGGAGAACAGGACAGGGCCTGAAACACGCAAACTTGGGGACCTGAGGGCAGGCGAAGAAAGGAAGCACCAGGCAGGGGTGATTCTGCCACCCAACAGGCACAACACACACACACACACACACACACACACACACACCCCTCCCCCCATTCCGGGAGCTGGGGACAAAGGACGCTCGCTGCAGGCGTACCTGGGAGACCAGAGCCCTGACTGCAAGCCCTGAGGCACAGAACCAGAGGGCGTCTTCTCCCCGCAAACCCCGGAGGACGCTGCCAGGCTCCGGGTAGATGGAAGTCATGTGGGCCGAGGGAGGACAGGGACCCCAGCAGGGCCCGAAGGGCTCTCAGTCGGCAAGCTTTACGTACCTGGGTGTTCTGCGGCGTTACTGTGGGGGCTCCTAGAGTTTTTAAGGTGGGCACTGCCCCTGCACCACCAGAGAAAAGCAGCAGAAAACTGGGTTAGAATCCCAGCATTCCCTTGACTCACACAGGGGCCTCCATGCTTGACCTGGGTGGACAGCAGGGCTCTGTGCCCCGGGGACGCAGGACACTCCACGCTGCACCCTAAACACCCCTCTCTTCTTCGGCCTTGCAGGAGGGTGCTGAAGGAGCAGTACATCGATAAGACGCGCGTCGCCGTGTTTGGGAAGGTGAGCCCCGCGGTCGTGTGCGCGTCCGGCACCCCCCCCCCAGGCCCGGTCCCAGTTCCTGGGAATGTCACTGGTCGCCGCCGGCAGTCACTGCTGTTAAGAGTGAGAGGCTGGGTGCTTTGTGATTCCAGCGACGGGAGCCCCGCGTGTGACCGCGCGTTTGTCGGAGTTCCTGGGTACATTATCGCAGGAAAGGCAGACAGATGCAGACCCTGGGGGCGCGCATTCCCTGGTTCCTAACGGCCTGTCCGCCGTCCGCCTGCCGTTGTTCTTGCTGCGGAGCCAGGGAGGAAGGGATTCATGTTGTGTCTCTCTTTGTTTCCGTGTATCTCCATGTGCGGTCCCTACGTTATTTACCAAGTTCCCTACACAGGGGGAAGGGTACAGAGGATCATGCTCTGAACCCCCAAGCTAGAGACGCTTCCGTGCGGTGGGCTGCGTCCGGAGGCCGCAGCCTGACAGAGAGGAGGCCCGTGGCTGAGGCAGGTCCCCGGAGGCCACCTCCTACCCCTCGGGCACACCGCCCTCCCACCCTCACACGGCCTAGACCCTCAGCCTCTTGCTATCGAGAAGACAGGAGGCCGATGGAGAGACACAGGTCTGTCTGCCCTGGGGGAGGACAAGTCACAGCACAGGCCCTGCAGACGCGCCTCGCAGTGGCCCCCCTGCAGGTGGCAGCTTGAACAGGCAGCGATCAGGATATCCCCTCGTCACCACCCCCAGAACCTGTGATGGGAGCAGTGTACGTTTGAGACGTGCCACTGCCTTGGGGTGGTCCCTGGGGAAGGTGACGCAGGAGAGGGGAGGGCCCGGTGGCTCCACTCAGCGGCTGAGGGACAGACCAGAGCCTGGATGGCGAGTCCAGAGGCTGGGAGGGGCTCAGCGCCAGTGGGATTGTTCCTGAGTGCGACTCAGGTGTCCACCCTGATCATGCAGGAACGTTACTGGCCAAGAGCCTGACTGCCAGCTCAGGGCAGGGCGCCAGGCCCCGGCCAGTCCCTGCCCACCCTTCACTCTTCCCAAAACACGCGGAGCCGTTCCCAAGAGCTGGGCCTCCCGTCTCAGGCACCGAGGGAAGCAGAGACCTCCCACCCCCACCCCGGGACCTGGGAGCACACACGGGGGACGCAGAAGACGTAGCAGTCGCCGTGTGGAAAACACTTGCAGCACGTAGGCAGCGAGGGTGCTGGGGTGGGGCCCGTACAGCCTCGGAATGCAGCTCACGTCCCTCTGTGGTCGAGAGGGGCCTAGGAAGTGTGTTCACTACCCTCGGCCGCTCACTCTTCCTTAGCCGTTCTGCCTCGCGGGCCCCCGCCTTTCAGGAGCGCGATGACACAGGGGTGTGGGCTCTGTGACCGCACCCACCAACGTGCGGCTCACCAGCACTCTGCAGGCCTTCCTCGCACCCCTTACACCCCCCAAATGAGTCTGGGCTCTGCCCGCCTGCAGAGCTGTGACCTCTCTACAGGTGTCCTGGGGACTTCGGGAGAGACACCCGCCAGCCGCATGTGGCTCGCTGAAACCCTGGGAGGCCCTGGGGTTTCTGGAAAATACGTGCAGGGCCTTTTTTAAAAAAAAAAGACTTTATTTTGGGAAGCAGCTGTACATTCACAGCAAAATTGAGGAATACAGGACACCCCACCCACCCACAGCCTCCCCCACCAGCGAATCCCCCACCAGATGGTCCATTTGTGACAATGGGTGAACCTACAGGACACGTCGTCACCCAGAGTCCACAGCTGACATTGGGGTTCACTCTCGGTGTCGGACATTCTGCGGGTTTGGACAAATGTGTGATGATGTGCACCCACCATTCTAGCGGCACACAGACTAGTTTCACTGCCCAAAACCCTCTGTGCTCCACCTGTTCTCCCCTCCCCCCACCCCTGACCTTCTCACTGTGACACTCCCTGGTTTCGCGTTTCCGGGAGTGTCACGTGGCTGGAGTCAGCCAGGGGGTGGCCTTCGCAGGCCGGCTGCTTTCCCTGGGCAGCACCCCAGTCTTCTTGCCCTGGACGAGTACTCTGAAATGGCATCCTGCGTAAGCCAGAGAAGAACAGGCTTACATCCTCAATTTTCCACAAAGAACGAGGGGGCGGGGAGAGCTCGTTATATGAAAACAAACAACAAGAAAGTGGAGATGCAGAGTCACGTGAATTTTTATAATCCCAAGGAGTCAAGGAAATGTCAGCTCCCAGCTGGGCTCCGTAATGTGCACATAAGGCTCCTCCGTGTCTTTTCATGGCTGGGAGCGTGTTGCTTTTAGGTGCTGGGCACGGTCTCGTGGTCGGGATGGACCGCAGTTTATTTATCCATCGCCCACTGACAGGCGTCTTGGCTGCTCTGTGTCCTGGCGATCATGAGTGAAGCTGCTGTAAACATCCTCTGCAGGTTTTTGTGTGGACATAGTTTTCAGCACCTTTGGGGAAATACCAAGGAGCACGATTGCTGGGTCGTGTAGCGAGAGTGCGTTTAGTCCTGTAAGAAACCGCCAAGCTGTCTCCAGAGTGGCTGCGCCGTTTGCGTCCCCACCAGCAGTGACTGGGAGTTCCCGTGGCTCCACGTCCTCGCCAGCGTTTGGTGGTGTCGGTCAACACTTTTTTTAAAAACAAACTGTAGAATGACTTGTTAAGGACTTGCAGATTCCATCAGCAATAAGTATGATTAGCCAGAAGCCAAAAAGAACCTTTCATTGTTGTTAAGACAAGGTATTGCTGTTCTGCTGATGGGATGCTCTTCTAATTTAACAAACTTCAGCGGTTAATGGTACGGTGAGCTGGGTGCGGGCTTCACACGTGTCTCCTTCAGGCTTATGGGCTCTCCACCCTCTCACCCACGTGCTCACACGCACGCACGCACCGTGAACAGTCCCCGTGCCATGGCCTGGTTCCCTAGGGCCTGTGCTCCTCTCCCTGTTACTTTGCTCATCAGGACACCGGTGTCCCGTTCCTCCTGGGTCATTCAGGAGACTGGAGCCCCTCTGAGCCAACGGGCTTTGACGGCTCCCATGACACATAATGATGTAACGCTTTGCTCTCTCTGGGAGGCCCACCTGGAAGCAGGGGTCCTGCATGTCAACCCCAAGTCAAGGGCCACATAGGAATTTAAGGGATTATCAGTGCACAGGACGTGCACGGAGCTGAGCAGCATGGGAGCCCCCTGACCCTGCTTCCTCCTTGCCTTCCTCCCTGCCCCCCCAAAAAGCACACAACATGGATTGGCTTTGCCCGCAGACAAGGCGCCAGCCGGGAACACTATGATGGTGCCCAGCTGGGACGAACTTGCTACTGACCCTGCGCTTACCTCGCGGCGCACAGCCCACCTCCGGTTCACATTTAACTTCGTGTCACTTGAAACGGGCCCCAAAGAGGGGAACGCTTGCATCACATCATAGTTAGTTGGAAAGATATTTGCTTTTCGTTTTTTACCTCCCTTTAAAAGGTTTTACATTGAAATTTAAAAAAGCTCCATGAAAATGGTTGCTTGAGTCCAAAGCTGTTTCCATGGCTGGGTTATTGACATGTCCTGCCCTGCACTGATATCTCTCTCTCTCTCCTTCTCTCTCCCTCTCTCTCTCCCTCTCTCTCTCTCCCTCTCTCTCTCTCC